AGAGTTTTTTTGAATGACATACTCGGAAAGGTCGTGCTCGCAATACATTCCGAAAAGATACTTTTTATGTTTTGTTTGTAGACATAAGATATTCCAAAAACGTTATGATGTGTGTGTGTATGTGTGTGTGTGTGTGTGTGTGTGTGTGAGAGAGAGAGAGAGAGAGAACACAAAAAAAAGGTTCATTTTTGTCATAATACCGCTGACCATGCATGAAAGTTTGCTGTTATCATAGGACATCCTTCTCGAATCTAAAAGATAGAAGGAAAGAAAAGGGAGAAAACAGACTCAGAGAGAGAGAGAGAGACAGAGAGAGAGAGATACAGAGCTCACCTGTCGAATGTGGGTAGGCGGTGGGCGACGGGCGGTCGTCGACTAGGCACAAGCCACTGGGTGGTGAGCGCTGGCCGGTGGGCGCTGGGCAATGCAGTAGCGCAGGGCAATGGCGCACGCCGGCGGGCGTTGGCCGACGTATGAAAATGTTTGTGGTGCATATGAAAATGTGGGCTAATGTGCAGGCCAGCTCGCCGAACGCGAATTCCGAAAATAAGAGAGTGGGCCCTTTGAGGCCGTGCCATTATTCCCGAAATCCAGTACTGGGTGCCGGCCTGGTTTCATGGCCGCCGTGGCCCTGAAAACCGGTACTGGGTGCGGGCCTCGTTTCGTAACCGTTTTCCGTGCTTTTGTGCTGGTCGAATGCAGAGTCCTCGTGCATTATTTGCGTGTGCTTCATTGCTTTTGGCCTTGAGACAAATTGCTGCAGAGCGAGGGCTCATGCGCGCGCGCGCGCGAGAGAGAGAGAGAGAGAGAGAGACGTCCAGTGTGTGCTTCCATACAGCGTGTGAATCGGCCATGGCGACCAAAGGTACGAGGAGGTGTGAGGTGCCACCTTTCTTATATATAATATATATATATATATATTTGAAATATGTAGAAAAATCGAAGCGCGTGGGCAGGGATGATTGGTGGGAGAGAACCATAGATCTCCCTCCCTTTTTTCCATTTTTTTTTTTTTTAATCTATGGAAATGGCGAATAGGTTGCTGCGCTGGATTCGATCCCCACTAATGTGGGCAGGCCTGATTGGTGGGAGAGAACCA